ACTTCCTATCACCAATGTACATTAAATTATGAACAGGAGGTGAGCCATCTGCCAAAAAAAAAAAATGTACGGTGAATACATATTCATTAAGATGATCAAACATTCCATATAGTAGACTCCACATACCGGTCCAAATGGTGCCCCCTGAATTTAGGTAATAGAGCTCATTAAATAAAGTGATGGGGTACCTGAAAAGAACATTTAGAAAAAACTTTAGAATCTTACAGTATGATAAATAACAAAGAACACGTCCTAGCTGACCATTCCGGAAGCCTCTTGTCTTCAAGAATAGGTCTTTGCCATGCTTCTATCTGTGATTCCCAATTACCGTGCTCTACATTTAAGAAAAAATGAGTTAAAGATTCTTAACAATTGAAAATGTGTTTGTGTGCCTGCTAAGTACTAAAATGGGAGCATGACAGCCAAATTCAGAGCTAATTTGTTACATAATATGCAATCTCGCTCCCAAATTTGGGTACTTCAAAGTAAAAAGAAACTGCTAATTGGTAAAATGTAACTTGAAACATTACCAAGAATAGCATCATGGGCTATACTTGCAGCTGCATCTCCATGAGTACCATAAAATTTCGTGTAACGCCTGTAGATAAAAGACTTTTCAGGAGGTGGATAATATTAATTTCTGATATTTTTCAAGAATATCCACCAACTTACCGATAATATGTCTTTCCACTCAAAAATTTCACTTCTGGGCAATCCCATGCCAATGAAAATGTAACGGCGCGCACTGCACACGGTGGGACTTTCACAGAAGCTGCAATAGCTGCCCCAATAGATGATCCCTGTTCTGAAGGTTTTGATGTTTCAGTAGAATTAAGATGATCGAAGGATCCGTGCTGTTACAACAGAAGAATATATGTTATTAGATAAGGATATCACTTATCAGCAAAATTCTTCCACTATGATGCACTTGTAAATTATAGGAATAAGTCTACCCACCTCTTTTATTTCATGCCACATATCTTTTGCTGTTCCCCCCCAAAAAAAAAAAAAAAAAAAAAAAAAAAAACACATTGGTTAAACTAATTATTACGACGGTGTGCAAGACTTAGGTTTTTTTTAGAGTTTTGTGTTCAATCGCACTAAATGTTTATCTAATATATTTGTGATTGTGATACTTATCCATTAGATTTGTAGAGGTATTAGTCAATCTCAAAGATTAATTGAGGATATTAAACTGGTCAGAAGAACTCACAAAAAAACAATTTTGAAGAGAATTAACCTTTGTTAATATATTTAAGGCATTGACAATTTGTGTATTTAGAACGGGGTATATCATTGAACGACACAATTTTTTCTGAAAAAAAAAACTTAGAATATGCAAGTTTAAATACAGATATACACTTAACTTAAAAAATATGTTTAATTTAACGGAAACTGAAATGTCATAAATGCCCTTATTTGATATATTGTAATAATTTGATTTATTTTAAGTTAATAGACAAAAATATACTTTAAAACAATGAAATTCCAAAATATACCTGATTAGTTTTTTTTTTTTTTTTTTTTTTTGTACCCATAGATATAAGCTATAACTTAATAACATAAAAACAATTTACAAAATCAAAAAATTTTAAAACTGTAAAAAAATAAAATTTAAAAATTTAAATATTAAGATAAAAATTTGTAATAAACTTAAAAGTTTGCAAAAATTAAATTAAAACTTTAAAAACTCTGGCTTCTATAGGCATCGACAAGGCCAGCAACTAGCTAGGCCAATGTTTGCCATTTTAGGTGTCGGCTAAGAAGCGCAACGGCGGAGAGGCACATGCTATCCACGGTGTCCACGGCGACTTTTGTCCAACCTTTCAATTTTTATTTATTTTTTTCCAATATTTTAGTTCTTAATTTTGAGGTACATGTGGAAAAATTGATTGGTTTAATTTAATAAATATTTTTTATATGTTTTATTTGACTTTTCATAGAACTATGATTTATCCTTTTTCTCAGTTATATTTTACGATTTCTGTATTTAATGTACTACTTAGCACCGTTGTTTATTTCTACCTGAGAGAAATATAATAAAATATACATATATAGACAATATATGTCCAACAAATTTAATCAACTGATGCTGTATTAAACCTAATATGCTTGAGATTTGAAAAACAGAGACTAGTAGCTATTTAACTAAAGATATAAGATAATACCTTTTATCTTATAAAAGGAGTCTTTCCCACTTTCTCAAAAAACCATAATACTCCATAGTTAGAATTTATACTATATGATAACATCTATAAAGTGATTAACGGTCGACATACACAAAAATAGATGATAGTAATAAGTTACAAGAACCCATATTTCTTTTCTTTTCTTTCTGTGATGATTTCTTACTGACACAAAAATAGTGACATAAAAGTTACAAGAACCAATCGATTATAGAAACACCTCTTGCAAGTGTAATCAATAGTGGAGACAAATAAGTTACAAGAATAGATGACAATAATAAGTTACAGGAACCAATCGATTATGGAAACATTCTATAAGTGGTAATCAAATAGTGATGTAAAAGACCGTTACGCCCTCTTATCCGGTACTTTAAAGACGAGCAACTTACAAAATCCGGCTGTATCTTACAAGATCTTCATTTACTTCTGGTTTCATCTCATGTTAGAAGGTTTGGCCTTGTTAGAGCCCATTGCATTGCCCAGATGGCCAATGGACGCATGAACATACGATCTAAATCCCCATCAGTAGTCCAAGTTCTGGAGTTTGGAAAGAATAGCTATCAATAAAATTGCAATTTGTTAGTGATTTGAAAAATAGTACTAAAGCTAATAATTATTAGTGTAAATTATGTAAGTTTTGAAGTTCCTATTGGAATCGGCACAAAATATCCTAAAGGCAGAGAGAAGTAAGGAGGAAAGGTCATCTATTAGATTTGCAACTACGGGAGGTTTATCCAACATTTCTCAACATTTCTTCTACGAATGGTTCAACAGACATCCCAAGACTTAGGTAAGCAATAATTTAATCAACCGACATGCTTTGAAGTTTCAAAAGGTAACAAGTTTTAAAGATAAAGGGGATCTTACCCAAGTCCATTTTCAGACCATGTTGCTTCATAGATCCACTGGCAGTTTGAAATCCATATACCAAATCTTCATGGATCATCGTTGCAGCAACGCATATGTGACGCCGGACCATATTTCTCTTGACTGCATGTTGTCATGTCAACTGTCCATCAGGTAGCATCCCATTAACCGCCCCCCGCTTTCCATCCTAATCTTCAAGACATTATAGTTAAAAACCTTTCTAATGCACTTCTGCTTTGTCTTCACAACATAGATGAAAGACCACATGCTCGGGCATACCTACAACAGAGACACTATATATACACCACATGATTGTATTCAGTAGTTATGAGGAAATGGTATACTATCATAGCATCAGAACTGAGAAAAAAAAAAGTCAGGTTTCAGGTATTTGATATTAATAATATAATGAATAAAAGTGGTACGGTTGCAACATACCATTGTCCAGCCAATTGATCAGCTTGAATAGATGAACTTGGGCGGCTACCACTATTGTCATAATTGAAGTAAGAACCATTCCACAATTTCTCATATACAACTTTCGCTTTTTGAAATTTAAACCAGAAATAATCCTCAGAACCCTGTCACCAACTCATGTGCCAATGTGACGCAGCCTGCAATGCTGCCACATAGGCCTCACTGTAGCAATCACACCAGAGACAGAACACGTGTATGTTGATCTGGGGAAGCCATCATTCTCCCACATCCTCACCACCCTAACAAATTGGTCCATATATGCCATCGCACATAAATGGGGCCAAACGACTTGTGCAAACTTTGCCCCTGGGCAATTGCCAAACTAAGAGAAAATGGAAAGCTTATGAAGTTGGAGCACGAATGGTTTAAGAGACACTCAACCTTCGCATCTGAGGACGATGACCCTTCAAGTGTTGTGAAGCCTCTTACCCTTGATAGCTTTCGTGGTTTATTCCTTATCAGTGGAGTCTCTTCAGCTTTAGCTCTAGCGGTGCTCTATAGTTTTAAGCTTTACAAAAACTGGCACTTTGTGAAGAACTTTAACCTCAGAGACATTATGTGGGGACGAATAAAGTTTGTAATAGAGTACCTCTCTATAAACAACTAGAAAATCGATGTAAAAAGAGTACCTCAGAGGGGCCTTGTGAACTTTAGAGTAGAGGTGTAGGTGTAAATGAATTTTTTTTTTATTTAAGAAGTATTTTTTTAGTCAAATAAATTGGTGGTATACAAACAATTATAAAAAGCCATAAAAGCAAACAAAAACAAGTAATTTGAAGTTGTTTATTTGAATCAAAAAGTACTAGTTGAGGTAAAGGGTTTCAGAAGAGTTTCTTATAAATTCTAGGAAGTTCAACAGATTCAAAGGAGAATTATATATAGGATACCAAAGGAATTCCATTACCAAGCGAGTCATTAGTAACCTAAATTTGAAAAATTCTAATCTTTAACCATTTACTCCTCCTCAAGAGTAGCTGATGCTTTATCAAGACCGCGTCTCTTCTATCATTGATCATAGACCATACATCAAAATCTTCCTTGAGAATTAATCTGCAGATTGGATCCACTTCTAACACAAATGGCTTTGCTTTTTTGAGTACCATACAATTTTAACCAGAATTTGACAATCGCTCTTTCAGGTTTTTCGGAAAGGTTAACCATTGGTTCTTACATGTCTAGAGCAATTGCCGGACTAAGAGAAAATGGAAAGCTTATGAAGATGGAGCAAATGGTTTAAGATTTAGCTCTAGGCTTGCTTTATAGTTTTCAGCTTTACAAAAACTGGCGTTTTGTGTAGACCTTTATAGAAATTATTTGTGGCCGAATTCAGTTTGAATAACTAGAAAAACGATGTAAAATTACAACTTGACACTTACATTTAGTTGTTTGATTATTTCTGATTTTGTGAGTGTTCAGGTTCCTTCTTTCAATTTATCCTAAGAATTCAACCATCCATAATGCAAGACCTCCAACACAATCAATAGTTCAAGCATGTTCATTAAGAGACAAATATATGACTTTCATTTAGCAACAAGCATTCCAAACTGGTAGATGTACAATGAATAACAGGAAGATAGTTTAAAAAACCAGAAGACTGCCATCTTCTTTTCTCTACTTTACGAAGTAAGGAAGGTTAAGGACATATAGAAGAAAATATGCCCAAATGACACCAGATATTCCACCAAAAAAGAACCCTCCAGTGAACTTGGCCCAACCATCAGCAGTTTGCAACTGGTCAGGCTCCTTCTTCCTTCCTGTCAAGGTTAGACCTGGGGCAATTGAGGGCTCTCCTTCGTTAAAAGAAGAAATTCCATACATTGTCAGGCAAATGCTCAGGATCACAACTAGTCCACCTGCTGCCAAAGATCCTGCTGCTCCTGCATATTCTGTGTTTCTCAATGGGCCTGCCTTAACAAATGGGCCTACAAGAAGGAACCCATGGGCCAACCCCACCTCTATTCCTCTCAGAAGTGGGCTGACTGCCGTCCGGTAAGCTGGGAGGTTGGAAAGGTACCATGCAATCAATGGACTTGATGTGACTGGAGTCTCAAGACTTCCAATGAAAGGGTCACCATTAATTGGCTGAAAAACTTGGAAAGTCGGCTGCACGAAAAGAGAAATCAAAATGAAGGTCTTACTGAATTCAAGTATACAATATAATGAAATTCCTGAATCCTAATGAAACATAAATGGTTTGGTTACCTTATCAGCCTGGACAGCTTTGACAGTGAAACGAGGGGCTCTCTTGGAGGGTGCAAGTCTAAATGGAGCTCCAGAAATACCCTTTGGTGTGACTAGTCCTCTTGTGACTGAAGAAGTGAAGCTACTCTTTAGTTGGCTAGCCATTGGAGAGGCAACAGCAGCCATTTGTGGGATTTTTTTTGTTAAAAGACTTTGGAAGCAAGAGCAATGTGTGCAGAGATATGTAAGGTAAGAGAAATGGAGGTTGGATTTGCCGAGTAGATTTAAGAGTATCTTTCAATTAGAAATTTGTGGTGGTGAGGAATGAGGTGTCACACTTGCAGATTTTTGATTGGATAGAAAGTGCCTGTAACCTTATCCCTTATCCACAATTGCTAACATGTTATTCCACCCAATTCTTCTGCACATACTACTAGAGCAATAGTAACTCCAACACAGCCAACTTATCACAGTATTCTAACTACAAATTAAAAATAAAAATCAGTTAAAACTAATTCTTTGACTTGGCCTTTGATCTATATCGACACTAGCCAAAAAGTCGATCGAATGACAAGACCTTAGGTTTTTTTTAGATTTTGTGTTCAAGTCGCACTAAATGTTTATCTAATATATTTGTGATTGTGACTACTTAATCCATTAGATTTGTAGGGTTATTTAGTCAATCTCAAAGATTAATTGAGGTATTTATAAACTGGTCAGACACGATCACAAAAAAAAAAAAAATTTCAAGAGAATTAAACCCTTTGTTAATTATTTAAGGCATTGACAATTTGTTGTATTTAGAACGGGGATATTATCATTGAACAGACACACATTTTTTCTGAAAAAAACACTTAGAATATGCAAGTTTAGAAACTACATTTATGTAACACTTAACTTTAAAAATTGGTTTAATTTAACTGGAAAAAATTGAAATGTCATAAATGCCCTTTATTTGATATTATTGTTATAAATTTTGATTTATTTTTAAGTTAATAGACAAAAATATACTTTAAAACAATGAAATTCCAAAATTATACCTGATTAGTTTTTTTTTTTTTTTTTTTTTTTTTTAGTACCCATTAGATATAGCTATAACCTCTAATAAACATTAAAACAATTTACAAAATCAAATAAATTTTAAAACTGTAAAATAAAAATTTTAAAATTTAAATATTAATAAAAATTTGTAATAAACTTCAAAAGTTTGCAAAAAATAAATTAAAACTTTAAAACTCTGGCTTCTATAGGCATCGACAAGGCCAGCAACTAGCTAGGCCAATGTTTGCCATTTTAGGTGTCGGCTAAGGCCAACGCTGGAGAGGCACAGGCTATCCAACGGTGTCCTAACGGCGACTTTGGTTCCAACCTTTCAATTTTTTTTAATTTTTTTGTTTATATTTTTTTCCAATATTTTTAGTTCTTAATTTTGAGGTACATGTGGCAAAATTTGATTGGATTCTAATTTTAATAAATATTTTTTTTATATTATTGTTTTATTTGACTGTTTTCATACGAAACTATGACTTTTATACCCTTTTTCTCAGTTATATTTTACAGATTTCTGTTATTAAATGTACTCACTTAGCAACTGTTTGTTTTATTCTTCTTACCCTGAGTAGAAATATAATAAAATATATAATCTATTAGACAATATATGTCCAACAAATTTTAATCAACTGATGCTGTAATTAAACCTATATAGGCTTGAGATTTGAAAAACAGAGACTCGTAGCTTATTTAACTAAAGATATAAGATAATACCATTTTATCTTATAAAAGGAGTCTTACCCACTTTAATTTTCAAACCATACTTCTTCTCATACTAAATTTATTTATTAACAAGTATGATTTCGTATAATTACTATACTTGTAGGTTTTAAAAAGTCATAAAAATACCAATAATATTTACTCATGTTAAGAGATTGTTAACTGTTACTATTATGATTAACATATATAAAGTGATTAACGGTCGCACATACACAAAAATAGATGATAGTAATAAGTTACAAGAACCAATATTTCTTTTCTTTTCTTTCTGTGATGAATTTTCTTACTGTACACAAAAATAGATGACAGTAATAAGTTACAAGAACCAATCGATTATAGAAACATCCTCTTGCAAGTGTAATCAAATAGTGGATGACAGAAATAAGTTACAAGAATAGATGACAATAATAAGTTACAGGAACCAATCGATTATGGAAACATCCTCTTATAAGTGTAATCAAATAGTGATTGTAAAAGACCGTTACGCCCTTTCTTATCCGGTACCTTTAGAAGACGAGCAACTTTACAAAATCCGGCATGGTATCTGTACAGAGATTCTTCATTTACTTCTGGTTTCATCTCATTGTTAGAAGGTTTTGGCCTTGTTAGAGCCCATTGCATTGCCCAGATGGCCAATGGACGCATGTAACATAGCGATCTGAATCCGCCATCAGTAGTCCAAGCTTCTGGAGTTTGGAAAGAATAGCTATCAATAAAATGCAAAATTTGTTAGTGATTTTAGAATAAAGTAACTAAAGCTAATAATTATTAGTGTAAATTATGTAGAAGTTTGTGAAGTTCCTATTGGATCGGCACAAAAATTATCCTAAGGCGAAGTAAGTAGTAGGGTAAAGGTCATCTATTAGATTATTGCAACTACGGGAGTTATCCACATTTTTCCAACATTTCTTACGAATGGTCAAACAGCATCCCGAGACTTAGGTAAGCAATATAATTTAATCAACCGACATGCTTTGAGTTCACAAAGGTAACAATGTTTTATAGATAAAGGGATCTTACCCAAGTCCATTTTCAGACCATGTTGCTTCATAGATTCACTGGCAGTTTGAAATCCCATATCGACCAAATCTTCATGGATCATCGTTGCAGCAACCGCCTATGTGACGCGGACCATTTCCTTGACTGCAATGTTGTCATGTCACTGTCCCACAGTAGCATCCATTAAACCACCCCGCTTTCCATCCATAATCTTCAAGACTTATAGTTAAAAACCTTTTCTAATGCACTTCTGCTTGTCTTCGTCAACAATCGATGAAAGACCACATGCTCGGGCATACCTACAACAGAGAACAATATATACACCACTGATTGTATTCAGTAGGTTATGAGGAAATGGTCATACATCTTTAGTGAAAAAAAAAAGTCAGGTTTCACGAGTATTGATATTTAATAAATAATGATAAAAGTTGTATCGGTTGCAACATACCATTGTCCAGCCAATTGATCTGAATAGGATGAACTTGAGCGGCTACCACTATTGTATAATTGAAGTAAGAACCATTCCACAATTTCATATACAACTTTCGCCTTTTGAAATTTAAACCAGAAATAATCCTCAGAACCCTTGTCACCAACTTCATGTGCCAATGCTGACGCAGCCTGCAATGCTGCCACCATAGGCCTCCACTGTATGCATCACACCAGAGACAGACGATGTACGTATGCTGATCTGGGGCCATACATCTCAACCATCCCTCACCACCCTATCAAATTGGTCCATATATGCCATCGCAACATAAATTGAGGGCCAAACAGCTGGTGCAAACTTCTTGTCCCCTGTGGCAACCAATCCGGTAAACTTGGAGAACAAATTTTGGATTCAAGTCTTTCCATCGACACGTGTCATAAAGACTAGCATATTACTTCAAACCAGGGATCGTCATTCAATATCATGGGAACAGCTCCAAGAACCTTTCTGAGGACCCACTGTCCATCATGTATAAGTTTCATCTTACTGGGATGTGCATCATTACTGCTGCTGCAAAGTCTCTTTGGACACTGAGTTGAAGTTTCGGAAATACATGACTAATGCAAAAGATGGGATGAGAAATGAACATCATAGGGGTTCCACATGGGATATTCATTCCTTCAAGATAAAGGAATTGGCCAATGTTTCTTCACCTTCTTCAAGTAAATTTGTTCCAAAGGCAGAATTGAGTGTGTGGAGTGTGTAATTGCTCAAAGTGAAGTCATCTCTCAAGACGTTTACAGCAGTATCATTATGATTGGGTACACGACATTTTTCTTCAAATCTGATTGTGACCTATCTAGGGAAAATTCTATCACAATGTACATTAAATTATGAACAGGGGTGAGCCATCTGCCAAAAAAAAAAAGTACGGGACTATTCAAAGAATGATTCAAACATTCCATATAGTAGACTCCACATACGGTCCAAAGTGCGCCCGTGAATTAGGTAATAGAGCTCATTAAATAAAGTGATGGGGTCCTGCAAAGAACATTTAGAAAAAAACTGTTAGAATCTTACAGTATGATAAATAACAAAGAACACGTCTAGCTGACCATTCCGGAAGCCTCTTGTCTTCAAAGATAGGTCTTGCCATGCTTCTATCTGTGATTCCAATACCGTGCTTACATTTAAGAAAAAAATGAGTTAAAGATTCTTAACAATTGAAAATGGTGTTTGTGTGTGCCGTAAGTACTAAAATGGGAGCATGACAGCCAATTCAGAGCTAATTGGTACATAATATGCAATCTCGCTCCCAAATTTGGGTACTTCAAAGTAAAAAGAAAACTGCTAATTGGTAAAATGTAACTTGAAACACCTTCAAGAATAGCATCATGGGCTTATTGCAGTGCATCTCCATGAGTACCATAAAATTCGTGTAACGCCTGTAGATAAACACTTTCAGGAGGTGGATAAATTAATTTCTGATATTTTTCAAGAATATCCACCAACTTACCGATATATAGTCTTTCCACTCAAAAATTTCATCTGGGCAATCCCATGCAATGAAAGATAACGGTGCGCACTGCACCCGGTGGGACTTCACAGAAGCTGCAATAGCTGCCCCAATAGATGATCCCTGTCTGAATGGTTTCGATGTTTGAGAATTACGATGTATCGAAGGATCCGTGCTGTTACAACAGAAGAATATATGTTATAGATAGGATATCCTTATCAGCAAATTCTTCCACTATGATGCACGTAAATTATAGGAATAAGTCTACCCCCCTCTTTATTTCATGCCACTATCTTTTTGCTGTTAAACCTGGGAGTTTCCAGATATCACCAAAACAAGGCACTCTGAGACATGGACACCATCAGTCTCTTGTGCCGCAATTGCAAAAGTCAATGGGGAATGGCCATCTGACTCCTGTTTTGTAGATAACATGATGTTATTAAAGGAAACAAATACATAGAGACTAAGATTATCAAACTAAGTCTTGATTCTTTTCTGTTTTATACAAGGTAAAGGAGCATTACATGTGAGAAGCAACAACTCCATGATGCCCTCCTCCA